GTATTTTGAAAGAATTAATACCTTAATCTACTTATTAGGCCCCCAGTTATATTGGCTGTTCTTAAGAACTTTATTACTTACAAGGGAAATGAATCCTGTTAATCCTAAGTATATGGTGCATGTAATGTTTATTTTCTTGCATCTCCAGGGTGAGCCTTTGGTGGACCCTTAATGTAAGAATATCATAAGTAGAAGAGATTTAGGAAATTGTGTAATCCAAATATTCTCATTTTATAGATAAGGGAAGGCCCAGAGAAGTAAGTGAATGCCTTGGATTGCATATCCCATTGGTGATAGAGTAAGCCTCAGTACAAACAATGGTACCTCAAATAAAAACAATATTCTATCTATCTGTAGTTTGATTGCATTCTCTTGAATCTGAGTTCAGCCAAATGAGGCAGATTTGTTTAGCATTTCATTCCTCATACATCTGACAGTGATCCTCTCAATTAGGTTCCCATGAAGAACTCCTATTTTTAAAGTAACATTACAGAAGAAAATTTGTCACTCTTCTTAGATTATCTGTTCTCATATTTTAACAGATACTACTCTCAGAAAGATTTCCATTTATCAGAAGACTTTAATATGGGGTCAGTAAATCCCTAAGGAATACATGCCTGGGAGTTTCTGAATTCTCTGAAATTGTGTGCAAAATTTAGTTCATAGCTTTTGTAAATTTCTCAAAGAATTAGTACCTAAGATCAGCCTGGAGTCCTCATTCTGTAGTTTAGCCCCACTTCATTTTATCTTATCTTCCTTGGAAGACACTTACTATCCTCTATATTATAACTAGGAGCTCTGGTAGCATAGTGCCTAAGGCACTTGACTGCTAACCAGAAGGCTGGCAGTTCAAACCCACCAGCCACTCCTTGGAAGGAAGGTTGGGCAATCTACTTCCATAGTGATACTGCCTCAGAAACCCAAGGAGGGGTCGCTGTGAGTCGGGGCCGACTTGATGGCACATGACAACAACAATATTATAACTAAATATTTAGAGATTATTACTAGATTTTGGATACAATTACTGTTTCCATATGAAGAATTTCAGATCATATTAATTTTTCTCATAGTATCTTAGTATTTTAAATTATTTTTATGGCTTTTTAAAAAATTTTTGTTGTGATTTTTGTGAAAGTTTACAGAGCAAATTCATTTTCCATATAGCAGTTAGTACATAGAAAGTCAAAGATCTAGTTTTTGACATTGACTGCAGTTTTCCACAATATAACAGCTCTCTTCCCACTTTCTTCTCATAGTTACCTCTTCCCTGTTCCTTCCCTCCCATGCTTGCCCAGCCTCTGGAGCTATCTCCCTGTGCAAATACTGCCCTTCTGTTCTCCCATGATTGATTGCTCCAAGGAGTGTTGTTATGTTTGTTGTTATGTGCCGTCGAGTGGGCCCCGACTCATAGTGACCCCTCCTTGGGTTTCCGAGGCAGTATCACTACGGAAGTAGGATTGCCCAACCTTCCTTCTGAGGAGTGGCTGGTGGGTTTGAACCGCCAGCCTTCTGGTTAGCAGTCAAGTGCTTTAGCCACTATGCTACCAGAGCTCCTCCAAGGAGTGTATCTACCCGATATAAATGTTCACCCCATATTCCTGTCTATGGTTTGGCTGGAAGCCATAGGAATGAGTTCAGTTCCAGACCTGAATGGTGGCTAGGGGCCATACTCTCAGGGATCTCACAAGGCTCTATCAGACTAGCAAACCTGGTCTTTTTTAAATGATTTTGAGTTTTGTTCCACATTGTTCTCTAACTCTATCCAGGATCTCCTGCACTGATCCCCCTCCAAATGGTTGACAGTGGTAGCCAGGCACCATTTAGTTCTTCCGGTCTCATGGTCATATAGACTGAGAATCCCATGGTGTACCAGTCCCTTCGACTAATTGTTTCCATGCGTCTTTAATTTTCTTCATTCTTCTTTGCTGTGGATGAGGAGAGACCCATCGTTGCATCTAGATGGCCACTTGCAAACTTTTAAGACCCGTTGCTGCTCACCAAAGTAGGATGTAGAAAAATGTTTTATGTAGTATGTTAGCCAACTGAGCTTGATGTCCTTTGTGACCATGGTTCCGAGCCCACAGGTCCAACTACTCATTCCCTACAGGTAGCTGACTGTGGCCAAGAAGCCACCACAACCTCGTCCCTTGTCATCTCTATTCTACATCTGGATGTTTTAACAGCACATAGAAATACAGATGTAGAAACATTGCCTGGTAACCCTATACATGGTCATGCCTAGACATACCTGATTGTTCAGGCTGCCTACCCATCTATCTTTCCATAGATCAATGCTTGCCATCACTGACAATGCAGTACTATAGATGCAAAAGGGTTCACCTTTATTGTCTGTACCTCCCATGTACTTTTCTATGTCTTCCTCTTTCTATGGCTGTCTTTGAAACCTTTTCAAATTCTTCATAAACCTGAAACCTAAGGAAATCAAAAATGAAAAATCACGTACTAATGATGATCTGGTTTAAAAGCTTGGATCTGCTGACAATGGTGTGAGAAAGTTATAGGCAGTAGAAATAAGGCTGCTTAGATAGGTACAGGAATGCGGCCCCAGCTAGGTTGCTTAGGTAGACCTTAAAGGTTAAAGCAGGCAGAGGGTAAAGGACCCAAATACAGCTTGAAGCAAATTTCAAAGTTTCAAGTAGGAAACATGTTTGGAATAAAGAAAAGCAGAATAGGGAGTAGGAGTCAAGCCCAGCCCTGAAGGTAAAACAGAATCCTGCAAAAAATCTTGAACATAGCTTGATACATATGAACAAACTGTTACTTTTCATAGTAAAGTCAACTCAGTCTTCTAACACTGAGACTTTTCACAGGAGGAGGGACTCCTGGACCATGTAACAGAAACACTTATCTCCCAGATATCCCTTCTTTCTGTAGTCCCTACAGTCACACTAGCCTCAAGATAGCTAGGTTCCTGACGGTTATGTTCCTAAGAGATGGAACTAATGGAAACACTGGGATAGAGTTTGAAAGCTATATTATATCAACCTTATTGAAGTAACTGCAGCTACAAGAGATTCCAGGCTCTTCTGGGAATCTAATGAAAGCTGTGGGCTCACTCACAAGAAGGAAGGCAGCAAACACACATTATGCAAAAATTTTTATACCATTTCACCTGCCCTAAATTGATTCATGGTTGGTAACTCCTGATTGAAATGTGTGTTATTCTCTATTGCTTACCCACTTAACATCCTGTCCTTTATTAATGTGTTGTATAGTCTTTTCAGCCACTGCCTTAGCTGTGCTAAGGAGATTTGGGCATATAGATTCTACATGTGAGCCAGACTACTAATGCAAGGAGCAGCAACATTGAGGCCAGGGCAGTGGTGACAATTGTTTGGGAAAGATCCCCGGGGATGGTGAATTTTGGTGATAATAATTGAGCCCAAGTAGTTCAGCATTCCATGCTCACTGGTTGATTCTTCCTCTATTCATGTTAAGATAGGTTTTCTTTTACCACCTAAGAAGCAGTTTCTTTATTAATCATGTAGAAAACAAAGAAACTAAAACCCCAACCTGTTGCCTTCAAATCATTTTGTGGCTGGTGGGTTAGAACGACTGCCTTTAGCCAAGCACTTAATCATTGTGCCACCAGGGCTTCTTCTGAGCCAGCTAGTGAGTTTTTATGGGAAGCCTCCAGTCCACAAGTATGGCTGGCATAAGTCCTCAGGAAGTGGGTGAGACTACTGGCCAGAATAGAGTGAAAGGATATGAAGAATGAATTGCATTGGTGACACAGCCTGAATTTTACTTGTGCCTATTTGTCAATAATGTTAAATTTATTCAGCCATTTCCTGTGGCAGGTGTTCTGGCTGTATCTGTTGTTGTTGTTAGGTGCCTTCAAGTCGGCTCCAACCCATATCGACCCTGTGTACAACAGAACGAAACACTGTCTGGTCCTGCGCCATCCTCACAATCCTTGCTATGCTTGAGCCCATCATAGCGGCCACTGTGTCAATTCATATTATTGAGGGTCTTCCCCTTTTTCACTGACTCTCTACTTTACCAAGCATGATAGCCTTCTCCAGGGTATGATCCCTTCTGACAATATGACCAGGACAGGCTGTATCTAGAAGTGGTAAATATGTAAGATTGATTTTAGAGAGTAATTACCTCGATAATTAACATTGAGTGAAACCTCGTTTACCTCAAATTTTAGGTCATTGGAAACAGAGTACCTGAATTATCCAGTTAAGTCTATATTAACACACCACCTGGTAAAGGGGGACAAAAGGTTTTTCCTTTTTTTTTAAGTTATATAAAAAAATCTATTTTGAAGAAGAAATTTCCAAATATGTAAATATTTTAACTTAAAATAAAATGTAAAGGTTGATTAAATGCTTTTATAAGAACCTGGACTCTATGCCTTTGCTTTAACTTTTTTCCTTGTCTCCAAATTCTGTCTTTCGTTGAATCTCAGCTTGGGCATAGTAGTACTATGCTGATAATACTTGGGGTTAGAAATGAGATAATCCATATCAAGCTCTGGTAGCATAGTGGCTAAAGCACTTGACTGCTAACCAGAAGGCTGGCGGTTCAAACCCACCAGCCATTCCTCGAAAGGAAGGTTGGGCAATCCTTCTTCCGTAGTGATACTGCCTCGGAAACCCAAGGAAGGGTCGCTATAAGTTGGGGCCGACTCGACGGCACATAACAACAAAACATATCAAGCCTGTAGAATAGAGCCTGACACGTAAAAAGCAATGTAACCATTACGTGTGACTGATAATAATATGATAGTGCTGCTCTCAAACAGTTTGGTCGACATTTAAACTCCTTTTTTGTGACCTTAAAAAGTATCTAGTGTCCCGCTTTTTGACACTTAAACATCTTATTTTATATGGCATGGTTTACATCCATAATGGTATTATAAGATAGACAAGAAAAGACAATACAAAATTTGTTGAATTGGATTGGAAACTGGCATTTACTTGCTTGGCTTGCCATATGATCTTCATTTTTCTTTTTCTTTTTTTTAACAGAAAATGAAAACACTAGCAGAAAGGAGGAGGAGTGCTCCATCTCTTATCTTGGACAAAGCCTTGCAAAAACGACCCAGTACCAAGTAAGTGAAAATCTTTGTATTACACACTTGCCATGTACTTGGAACTTTATATTCGATGAAGTATTTTATTTGTATTTTTGGGATTCTGTGTGTGTATTAGTTAAATACCTGAATTTCATTTCAGAATAGAAAAAAAGGCATTTATGTGTGTGTGTGTGTGTGTGCATGAGACAAAAGAGTATTAGGCCTAATAGGATCAAGAACCATGGACATGGATGAAGTGCCATGATAGAAAAATTGCTAACACTTACCTGACTTACTGGGAAATGCCATTTATGATTGTTTTGGATAGATGAGCCAGTAAAGTGATATGTAGCCATGCCCTACCCCCTACCCATGCTTCCCTATCACTGCTGCAGCAATCGGTGCTTATTTTACAGTCAGGTCCCCAAAGTCCTACCTCAGTAGTAGCAAAAAGTGTTAGGTTTTGTGTTAAAATAATCATAGGAAAAATATTTATTTAAGTTAAAGTTGCATTTGTTTGCATCTTGAGTTTATTCCACATGAGTTTCTCTAGATCAGTAACATGATCTAGTATGTAGTGCTGGGGAACAGTACCTTCACTTAGCTTATGGAAATAATGCTTTTACTCGATGTAACTGTTAGATGGTTAGACCTAACTGCTGGATGGTTAGACCTTGAATTTGTATAAAATATTTGTAAGTAATATGATCTCAGCATTGGAAAAAACCTTTCAAACCAAACCAGACTCACTGCCGTCGAGTCAGATCCCACTCATAGCAACCCCTCCTTGGGTTTCTGAGGCAATATTCACTATGGAAGTAGATTGCCTAACCTTCCTTCCAAGGAGTGGCTGGTGGGTTTGAATCACCAGCCTTCTGGTTAGCAGTCAGTTGCTTTAGGCACTATGCTACCAGAGCTCCCAGAAAGAACCTTAGAGGCATCTAATCTGGTGGTTACCAAACCTTTCTAATTCACTGTTCTGTAGTGGTGGGACTCAGGCATCTGCATATTTTTAAAAAATTGTCCATAACTGATTCTGATGCAGTCTTGGTGAAAGACCACTAAGGCAAGTTATATAGCAATCTTTTTGTGCATTATTTGCCTTGTGAATTCTGAGACAGATTTTTAAGAAATAAAGTATGGAACTGGTTTTAAAAATGAATTTAAGTAGTTCACATTTCTTATAAAACAAACCATAGAGACATATATCAAACAAAATGTAATGTCCCCACTCCATTCCCAAGTGTAACTACTATCAATCATTTGTATATCCTTCCAAACTCTTTCCTATGCATATCTGATAAGAATTTTTATTTGTCTTTCTTCCTGTTTATCACTTTAACAGAGATATATTAGTTCTTCCATTTGCAAATTTTGTTTTGTGTTGTTGTTTAATTAGAGATCAAATCTTACTATAACAACCATTCAAGAAAACCTTTGACTTTTGTTCACCTTTTATAATTAATGTTCCTGAAGTACATAAGTCATTTTTGTATTGATTATTAATGAACTTGCTGTTTTAAAGAAGTCATAATAGTGAATTGCTTTATAAAGTAAATAACTTCTTTTTCCAAAGTTACTAAAAATAATTCCAAGTTTCATAATTAGAATTTTGCTTTTCTATCAATGATACCAAGGAAACAAGAAAAATTAATGAAGTCCAAGTTAATAACTCAAAATTTTAATACCCAAAAATGATCATTACTATTTTTCAACATATAATAGGGACTGTCAGGAGCTCTGGTAGCATAGTGGCTAAAGCACTTGACTGCTAACCAGAAGGCTGGCGGTTCAAACCCACCAGCCACTCCTCGGAAGGAAGGTTGGGCAATCCTACTTCCGTAGTGATACTGCCTCGGAAACCCAAGGAGGGGTCGCTATGAGTCGGGGCCGACTCGACGGCACACAACAACAACAACAATAGGGACTAACCTGTAAGATATTCATGTATAGTGTAGGGACAAACAGTGAAGAAATAGCCTTTTATACTGACATTTTGTATTTCTGGAGTTATATCCATATTTTATTTTGGCTTTGAGGTAGCACCTTAAGATGTCTACTAGTGTCCCCTAGTTAACTTCTTGCTTAGTAATTAATGGCTAATAGATTAAGTAGCAGCAGAGTCAAGTATGTTACTATAAAGCACCTACTTTATCATCATGGAAACTCTGGTGCCATAATGCCTAGGGCATTTGACTGCTAACTAGAAGGCTGGTGATTCAAACCCACCAGCCATTGCTGGGAACGAAGGTTGGACAATCTACTTCCATAGTGAAACTGTCTCGGCAAGCTAAGGAGGGGTTGCTATGAGTCGGATTGACTTGAGGACTTCTTTTTCCAAAGTTATTAAAAATAATTATAATTATAAAAAATATATTAAACATAATTATAATTTAATAGTTATTAAAAATAAATGAATGTTTGAGTGTGTTCATCATCACACCATTTTATGACTATTAATGGATTGTTGAGCCTGGTTGATTATGTAGAGGAAATTGAATCAAAGTCTTCCATAGGTCACACAGTTGATTAGTGGCAGATATAGGACTAGAACTCAGATCCCTGGTCCTGGTAAAATCAAAAAAATAAATAAAGATGATGCAGTGGTTATGAGTACGGATTGTATAGCTATATTGCCAGGTTTTATTCTTAATACCAGTTGTCCTTGACGCTGATTGATGATGACCCCATGTATCAGAGCAGAGCTATGCTCCATAGAGTTTTCAGTGGCTCATTTTCATAAGTAGATTGAGAGTACAGCCACTTAATATCTGCGTGACCTTGAATAGGCTTTTTTTTTTTTTTTTAACCAGGGATAATAATATTAATATTCATCTCATAAAGTTGTAAGGAAGACTAACCAAAAACCAAACTCACTGCCATCGAGCCGGATCTGACTCATAGCGACCCCTCCTTGGGTTTCCAAGGTGGTATCTCTACAGAAGTAGATTACCCAACCTTCCTTCTGAGAAGTGGCTGGTGGGTTTGAACTGCCAGCTTTCTGGTTAGCAGTCAAATGACTTAGGCACTATGCCACCAGAGCTCCCAAGGAAGACTAAATGGGTCTTATATATGTAAAGTTCTTGAAGTAGTCTCTGGCACATAACCCAAATGGATAGATAGATATGTAGACTATTTATTCTTACTACTAGTGGTAGTAGCAGTAATAACAACAGAAGTACACATTATTGCGGTAGAGAAACCCTGAGGACCATAAAAGATGGGAGATAACAAAGGGATGATAGATGCAGAGTCCGGAAGCCAACTAGAGTCTAATATTAAATTCATTTTCCAAAGCAATTATATTTCTGGATCTGGCCTGAGGCAAGAGTGGGACAGAACATTTTGGATTTATTCTTAGTAAACCCTGATAACTCTTGAGGTTTCCCTAAGCAAAATTTCTAAATATACCTAGAATGACTCTGGGAAATGAGGGCTTGAACTGTGGAGACTTGACCTGGTTTTGTCAGATCCGACTCATAGTGACCCCTCATTTGGGTTTCTGAAGCAGTATTACTACAGAAGGAGATTGCCCAACCTTCCTTCTGAGGAGTGGCTGGTGGGCTTGAACCGCCAGCCTTCTGGTTAGCAGTCAATGCCTTAGGCAGTATGCCACCACAGCTCCTTGAAGAAGCTCTAGAAGGTTCATATCTGGCCAAAGCTGTGAATTATGATTAGACCTACATAGATTTGTCAGTTTGGGTGAGAATAACACAGTGGGGGATCACTAAGCAGAAGGCATTGGAGAACTAGGAAGGCATCTGCTTCTACTTCTATGAGGTCAACTCACTGTTGTTGTATATGACTAAACACACACACACACATCCTGAAATCATCCTACTCAGGCTTCTCCACCCTACCCCATCGTATGTTATAAGTTCCTCATCATTCCATTTTCTTTTTCTGTGTTAGTGCTAGCATCATAATCTTAATATTAATCTGAGTAGGTGATAACATTTTTAAATGAAAGGAGTACTCTGTAGTGACTTACTGAGGGTTGTGGTAAAATGTACTTTCATGACAGAGTAAAAACCTCCTCTGCCTGTGATAGTTTAGTGTAAACCTTCCAGATAAGGAAAAGGGAATGATCTAGATGACCTCATGAAATTGTGTTTTATGCTGACACTCTAAGATGGTTATAGTCACAGTTTGATGTAATTTAAAAGAAAACTTAATTTAAAAGAAAAATTACTAGACTTCTTTTGGAATTCTATAAAACTTGTGCCTAAATAGGGTTTTTTGGTATAAGGCTTTAAAATAAAATTTTGAATTTCAGAAGTATTTTTTAAATCTTTAAGGCCTTTTCAAAATTACAATAAATGATATTGGCATGTTATCTTAGAAAAAAAACCTGTGCCAAACACAATTCCTTGTACTGTTTTGCATGCCAGTTGGCTCTAACCATGAAAACAAACTCACTGCCGTGGAGTCGGACCTGACTCATAGCGACCCTTCCTTGGGGGTCTACTACAAAAGTAGATTCCCCAGACTTCCTTCCAAGGCGTGGCTGGCAGGTTTGAACCACCAGCCTTCTGGTTAGCAGTCAGATGCCTTAGGCACTACGTTACCAAGCCTATTCCTACCATTTTACACAGTGTGTTGTGAGGTTTTAATTGAGAGATCCATAGAGGAGCCAAGGTTATGTGATGAGAACACCAAAGTAGAAATTTAATACATAAAGATTTACAGAAACCTGCAAAGTCACTTTTTTTTTCCTTGCAAGGAACATTAATCAAAGTTATAAAATTCAGATGTAAAGAGAAGAGACAGTAATCACTTTATAAGGTGAAAAAGTTGGCAAATTTTTATCAAGATGGAATTCATTGTTTTATTAGGTAGAAGGCTTCCCAGACCCACATACCAATGTATTATTCTTTTCAAAGTACTTTCTATATTCTTTAAAAACAATCAAGTGCATCTGTTTCTGGTACAATGTGCTATTTTCTTATGGTATGATTCTAGGAGGAAATATTTGGGAATTATATTAAGTCTCTCCACATTCTATTGGGCTTTGACTGGGTCAGATTAATTTATTT